ACACTCCACAAATTTATATATCCGGAAAATCCAGCAAAATTGAATGACGAAGAAGGTTTTATAGTAAATTCCATTTTTTTATAAATTGATTATGTTGATATAATTGAAATAACAAATTAAAACCTAGCGTAATTAAAAAATTCAACCTAAGTGTAAAGCAAAATTGATATATATATATATATACACCACCATATGCATTATTGGAAAGAGCTACGTTACACTATCAGAATTACATATTCGATTATCCAAAATGCACATATCCTGTAGTTACTATTATTCTCATTATAATATTATAAAAATCAGTAATTTGGATTTTATCAACCAATAATTTGATAAATCAATTGATAAACCAATTTGAAAGTCATTTTACATTTTTATTTAGGTAAAAGAATAAATTGCTCATCCCTTTTGGTCCTAACTTAAAATTGCAGGCAATTAATTAATTGCCAGCATCATTATTGCTCACCTTTTAGATCTTATAGGGACCAAACATCCCACTTGAAAATATATATGGCCAGCTTTGTTTGCCAGTTCTTATTCATGCCAAACCCTATTCAATTACGTACATTTATGCATAAAGTATAAACACAACTCATAGATGGTGAGAGTATAGCTCAAATACAGCTTTGTAACGTTAATATGTATAATAAATAGCTAAATGCAATTTCATATTTTGCAGATACATTTTAGGACCCAAAAAAAAAAAAATAAGAACTATAATTTAATTCGAAAACGATAGACAACGAACTATTAATAACGTCAAATTTCCTTTATTTTACCTAGCTAATTTGTCTTTTAAGAAAATTAATAAGAAGAACTATAATTTAATTCAACGAATTATCCAATGATGTCAAAATAACTCTACGATAGTATTAAACCTAACTTATTTTTTATGGTCTATTAAAATGAAAATGATGTAATTTCGCTAGGCTAGGGATCCTGAAAATTCATGGAATAGATCAATAGAATGTAAACATTAAATTCAAGATCAGTACACCCGTGTGACTTATTAAATGTTGATGGGGATATGTGGGCCTGACCCCACTTGGTGTTTATCTTTGGAAATTGGACTTTTGGGTTGAAACAATGGCCCATTTATCCGGCATAAAGAGGCCCTACTTACTTTCCTCTTGGTCTTGTGGGCCCATTNTAATGTATAATGAAATAGATAAAAATAATTCAGTACAATTGGATGCATCAAGATTTAAGACAACGGTCATGATTAAGTCAAAATTAACATATGACGGTCAAACATGCGGTGAAAATATCAAAAATAAGTAAACATATCAGGTCAAATACATACATTTGACCACTTATTAAGGGTAAATTGAACAATTGTCACAATTCCACCCACCTATGGGACCCACCACCACCCACTCACTATAACCTATACACGTGCTCCACCTAACCCACTTCATCCTCTCTATCACACACACACACACACACAAATCACACACTTCACGCAAACAGTTGGACAACACAGCCCGGGCCCTCCTTAGCTCGAGCTCTCTTCCTACCTCGGCATTTTTTATAAACTTCTTCACGTATGGATCTCCAATTAACTTCAGCAGGGCATAAATTCAACTAAAGCATTGATCGTGTTATTCCCAATGGATTTATGGTATGCACAATATCTCAACTTGTCGAATTGGTTTTCTCTCGCTTTTATTGGCCTCGGGTCGGAAAGATCCCTTTGCCAACTCTTTATATATGGTCGTTGCGCTGTCCGGTTACACACTCTTGTAATCAGTCGTCAACTCCTCTTGCTATTGCTGCCTCGCCGAAACTTGGGCATTTCGGGTGTCCTTCGTCGAATCCTTACCTATTTACGTTTTTTTTTTTCCTTTGTGTCCGAACTGTTCGACAACTCAAAGGACGAGATTGACATGGATTCCTCCGAAATAATGTGTTATTGGGCTTGGGGCAAAAGCTCTTGGTACGTCAGCGGTTTTCTCTGGCATAACGACCACTTAAACATTGAGTTCGGCTTCAAACCCGAGAAAGCCGACAGCAGCAGTGACACGGTACGATGTTCTGTACACGCTCGTTGAATCAATCAACATAATCTTTCAAACTCTCATGGGCCTATGCACTATATTCATGATCAACTCCTTGGGGATCACGCAAATTTAAAAGCCGATGAAGTGAGATCGAAAAACCGACCTCAATTGCTACCACCTCCGAATAGAATGATGGGGCAGTAACTGGTACCACCTTTGGAACTTGGGTCCTAATGTAAGAGAAAACATCTGACATCTAAGGGCATCCCCAGCCCCATGCAAGTCTATCCACAAGACATAATGACCAAGGTGAGCGTCGAGATCCGAGTTGCTTCATACAACACGATTTGAGGGATTTTCACCTTCTCGGGGAAGGGGTCCAACAGGATTTTCGATGCTAGTGGTGAAGCCGCATCAACCACCGAGCTCCTCATGCCCAATGGCAGTAAGGAGGTCTTCATGTAGACCACTTTTTATCGAGTTTTGATCTCGAATAAGTTCTTTTTCATGGCAAAAACTTCGGCGGTATCGTGCCTCGTCGATTTGCCCCTTAGGATCTTCTCTCTTAGGTCAACTTTGGCCTTGGGCCTTTCCGACCGTTAAAATACTAACAGGGAAGGACATATAGAGTTCCACGTGGGCTCGGACTGGCTCTCCCCCGTATCCTCAGTTCGTATGCGCTCAGAGGTTGTGTTTTATGTAGTTCTTTAGCGGCTTTGGGACCGCCGAAACCTCATATGATCAGATTGTTCCTGTGCCCTTGTGTTGGGCTGGAATCAAGTCCTTTTTGGCTGGTGTTTTCAGGACAGTCGAGGGTGAGGGAAGGGTTTGTGCCAAGAGGCTCGAAAATCCTTCACAAAATCTGGGTTTTGAAAAAGTTAGGTGAAATCGATGCTAGGGGCCGCCTCATGGTTTTTTTCGACCCCGAGACATTCCAAATCTTTTTGGCTTGAGGAAGACATATTTCTCGCAGATTTTGTTGTATAAATGATGGTTTAGTTTACTCCAAAACAGATGATGGACTCCTCCTTCTAGTGCCAATCTGTTGACGTGCGAAATTCGAGTCAACGGGTTAGGGAACTTTTCCTAAGTAAAAAAATTTAATAATACTGAAAGAGGTCGGATGACCGTATTGTAGTGAAACATCTCGGGTATTCAGTACAACATAGTTATTTTTAGAAAGAGTTAATTCTATCATTGCTACAATAAATGAGGGGTCTTGATCAGTTTCTGTTGTTGGGTAACTGAGCTCCTTATAAAATTATTCCCAGTGTCGCTCGGTTTATATTTCGCTGTTTTATTTTCAGAGTTGGATAGTCACATCATTTGCACCGCGTGTCTGTCGATTACGGGGTCAGCAATTCGAATGTTAACAATATTATTACAAGCAATATAAAGATTAATATGTAAATTAAATAATTTATATTTATGTCGTTCATTTTTACTAATAGTATAATTTATAAAATGTTATATGCTTATATCTAACTTATGATTTAAAAATTACATACAGACATATGACATATAAAATTTTATGTGCATATGTAAATATGCACATGATCGCATACTAGTATGTGTAAGGAGAGACAACTCATTTAATGCTAAACAAATGTTTCCCACCCATATTTATAAATTGTATATGATATTATCATATTGGGAAATGCTACAGTTCCGTTATGAAACCATCTCGTCGGGTGTTTTAACCGTTGGATACACATGTAGTTAGTATAAGATAGAGGATCTAACGGTTAAAACACCTGACGGGATGGTTCCGTAACGAGGCCATAGAATTTCCTTATCATATTATACATGTTAGTTAATCAATATTGGTCAGTTAATTAATATTGACTGCAATGTAATCACTCTTAATAAGATGACTTATGAAAAATAGAAGTATTTAGGTGTCAAAGCATGTATAAATAAATTGATATATATATATAGTAGTTTGCACTATTCTTGTATTTATTTTGTCTATATTTATGTTAATCGTCTTATGATCAATATTTAAAATTTGGGTGATTAAAGCATAAATATTATAATAGTCAAATATATATAATATGAGAAATAATATTATATAACTTCTTATTTTAGATATACTACTATATACATCTTATATTATTTTAAAATATTTCATGCATGTGTACGAGGTATTTACTTGTATATATAACTGTGGGCTATATGAAAATAAAAAAATATTTAAATTTTCTACTCCCTTTTTCTGTTAATTATGCTAACAAATTGTTAGTTTTACATTAATTAAGTATAATAATATTTTCTTAATTATTCTATAATATAAAAGTTACTATTAAAACTATCTAATTATAGTTCACACAAAATAGCATATGAAATTTACATAGTATAAAAAATTATTCCTAACTCTTTCTTGAAATATTTATCCCAAAACTAATATTCCCTCTGTTTCGTTTTAAATGTCGTTGTAGGGTGTCAACTTTTTTGCAAATTAATTGTCGTTGGAAATATTATATTCATTCTTACATTTTTATTCTCTTTAACAAACATTATCTCTTATCATTATCTTTAAAAACCACCCATTAATAAATCAAAAACTAAATTTAATAAGATTAAAAAATAAGATTATTACACAACCCATTAAAATCGTAATCTAGAAGTTTTAAATTAAAACGACATTTAATAAGAAACGGAGGGAGTATTATCTTCTTCTCTTTTTCATATCACTAAATGATATTTTTAAAAATAAGCTAATTGTGTTAAATAGCATAGTCAAAGCCAAACTTCTTAAAATCGCATAAACAATTGTTAAGATAAATATTAATATTTTTTCAATTAATTAATTGACCACAATTCATGAATATACAAAAATTGCATTGTACATTACATTTTTGTGCATTTAACATAGTCATTCATATTAATTTATAATCTTATATTATTTATTTTTCTTACTAATGACCAATTTTTGAAATATATTCTAATATTATAAGAATACTTATAATACTTCATTCTATATGTATATGACCGAATACTAATACTAACAATGATATCGGCTAAAAAATGGAGCAAGGGAGTAGGCTAACCCCACCATTGTCTATACAAATTCCGGCAAGACGAGATTTTCCAGTTCATCGATTGATCCACGTTTCACCTTTTTCAATGGAAGACAAATCCCAACCAATCCGCATATAATATGCCCTTTCCGCCCACACACACTCGTCCCTCCCATTTTTTCTATTATTCATTTGTTATTTTCTCCAAATATTATCATCTTCACTCCCAATTTCATTTTTTCTTATTTCCTCTCAAAAAATAGCAGCAGATAAAACAGAATAAAATAAATAATAATCGGCGGTTTCACTTTCACCTGATAATCTCGAACCGGAGACGGAAATGGCGGACGGCGTGTTGAGCACCGGCCGGTGCGAGAGATTAGGTTTTGAGGAGACGGAGCTGAGGCTCGGGATTGGGTTTCCCGGCGCCGGAGATCAGAAAGGTAACGGTAATTACGGCAAGCGAGGGTTTTCTGAGACTGTGGATTTGAAGCTCAAACTCTCGACAAAGGAGATCGGTGATTTGGATCGAGATGATTTTGAGAAGACTACGAATCTGAACAAGAAGAGCCTCACGGCTTCGCCTACCGAATCTATTAAGCCTCCGGCGAAGTAATTACCCTCTCTCTCTCTCTCTGCGTTTTTTCGAATTTCGTTTTTGTTGAATTGATTTTGTGGGAGTGTGATTCGTAATTGGGGAAATTGATTTGGTATTTGGTAGCAAGTATTTTTGGAATTCTGTGTATTTCTTCTGTGGTGAGGTTTTGTTGTGGTTTGGATTGAAAAGCTAAAGTATGTGGTGGGGTGGGGATTGGGATTTTGCAGGGCGCAGGTGGTGGGTTGGCCGCCGGTCCGCTCGTTCAGGAAAAACGTGATGGCGGTTCAGAGGAAGAGCGAGCCGGAGGACTGTGGAAAGGGAGCTGCCGCCGCCGCCGTCGGAGGCGCCTTGGTGAAGGTGAGCATGGACGGTGCACCGTACCTGCGCAAGGTGGATTTGAAGATGTACAGAACTTACCAGGAGCTGTACGACGTTCTCGGCAAAATGTTCAGCTCTTTCACTATAGGTAAAAAAAAATAAAAATTACATAAACACGGAGTCCAGAAATTTATCCATTCTTTTTTTCATATATTTTGTTCTCAATTTCATAATCTCTTGGAAAACTGGAAATATTTGTGAAAACTTACAAAATTGATTCTTGCTGCCAAAATTCTTAATATTTAAATAAATTTCAGATAAACCTTCATCCTATCATTTTCACTTCACGAAATTAAAAAGGAAAAAAAAAAATGTATCTTACTTTTTCTTGTTCCTCTGCAAGTTTTATATAAATTTTTGTTTGCCTAATAAATTAAATTCATTCTATGGATCCAATGGATATACCAAATAAAAGGGGGAGCAAGTATTTGTGAAATGATTTGTTGTTGATTGAAGGGAAATGTGACTCGCAAGGAATGATGGAGTTCATGAACGAGAGCAAGTTAATGGACCTTCTGAATGGCTCCGATTATGTGCCGACCTACGAAGACAAGGATGGCGATTGGATGCTCGTTGGCGATGTCCCTTGGAGGTAAAAACCTCGAAAAACCTAAATAATAGTATTAAATTTACTAGATTTAATATACTCATCAGATTGGGTTTTATCAAATTATGTGTTTAGGAAAAATTTGAATTGTTGATTTCAGTAATATTATAATGAGAAAAGTAATCGAGGTTTTAGTGTGTGTTTTCAATAACACCCATTCTGTAAACCAACTTGATATTGTAGCATGAATCAATTTAGGGCTTATTAAAGATTAGGCCTTTAATCTTTGGGTTAGTCTTGCATTTGTTAACCAAGATTGCGGCCCGCAATGGGCCTCAAGATTAAATTGGGCTCGAGATGAAAAAACATTTAATCTTGGATAATCAAGACTATTGAGGTATGTTTGGTAAAATTAGCTGATAAGTTAGTTGATAGCTGATAAGCTAGCTTATAGCTTATATGTAATTTTTGAGCTTATAGCTTATAGCTTATGACTTATAGCTGAAAACCTAGCTTATATGCTAAAAGTGTTTGGCAAATTTAGCTGATAAGCTAGCTGAAATAAAAAATTCAACTAACTTATTTGAAAAGCTACCTAAAGTAGCTTATGAGATAAGCTCGAGCTTTTTAAAAAAGTCCGTCCTACCAAACGAGGCTTATTTGAATACATGAAGCTTATAAGCTAACCAAATAAGCTATAAGATAGCTTATTTGGCTTACCAAACACAGTCTGAATCTTGGGTGAGAGGTGTGATTTTTTCATCCCTATAGTTCAAATATGAGGAAATGACCAAATGACCCCAAAATATTATATTTTATGGGAAGTTCCCTCACAACCACAGTTATTGGAAAAATGATGTAATGGTAAAATTGAAAATCTACGATTGTATATTATCTCTAGTCATACCAAACAAATGCCGAATCAAAGTAATCCCCAACAATGTCTCATTGTTAGTCTTTCACAATAAACATAAATCAATTCAGTCTAAACAGTACAATCTTGTCTCTCCAAATTAAATTAAAACAATTCTGTCTAGGGAAGCAAACGTTGCCCTTATTATACTTTTTTGCCACAAATGCAAGAGAATAAGTACGTCTTTGAAACTTGTGACCGACTGTGTTTTGTGTTGATGTGAAATTAGGATGTTTGTTGAATCATGCAAGCGCCTCCGTATAATGAAAGGAACAGAAGCGAAGGGACTAGGTAAGAATGATATGCTCAAACAATCTTAAATGTTATTGTCCAGTTTTTATTTTATTTTTTTACAATTAATCTAAATCATTTGATTATAATAACCTCGTTCATTAAATTAATTTAAGCATCCATTTATATAAAATTTAATCTCATGCCATCTTTTAAACTCAGTACAATTTGTGAAATCACATAAAAGCTGCATTTGTTTTTCAAATTCATAAACATCGCAATGAGTTTTTGTTTTGAATTCTCTAGTCCATCCACATTTGGCCAAAAGAAAGTATATACATTGAGAATGTCTTGAAGTCATTCTATGTGCTGAATTACTTCTACACATCTTTATTAAATCTTGTATTAATTTATCTCTATCTTCATTCAGTTATTTCACCTAAGTCAAATTATTCAACTATTTACATATAATATTCGGACATGTATTTATTCCCCTTTTTATATGATAATACACCTCAAAGTACACATTAATACAAATTCCACTTGAGACGTAGCATAAAACGTGATTATACACAGCAACTTTAGAAAACGTAATGCCCAATTTTTTTTACTCTCAAGTAGTAGTATTGATTGTTCAAACACAATAATTATCAACTTGCAATNAAAAAAAAAAAAAAATAAATAAAAAATAAAGGTATATGTTTCAACAACTTGTGTTTGTTGATCTCGTCACGGGGCCATACGTCTATGTTTGTTTTCAAATACAATTGCACATTACAATCCCCAAAATCTGGACCAAAATTAACTGAAAAGGGCAACTGAACCTTATTTTATTCCCCATTTTCAGCACCTCGAGCCATGGAGAAATGCAAAAGCAAAAGCTAAATCCATTTGGAGTAGAAGAATTTGTTTATGTACCATTGTATGATTTGGTTTCTATTCTAATATTAATAAGGTATTTTTAATTATCTAAAATTTTATTCAATCTTGTGACTTGAACCTCTAGTTTTGTATATTTTATGTGTTAGGTATGTGATGTTTATGCTTTGCTAAAACTTGTCATTAATAGTTTTTATTGTAAACTGTTTAATTCACATGGAGTTTGTGGGTTAGGAGAATAACAAATGCCAGTTGGGCATGTTTTATTATATAATCAAAGTTTAAGGTTTGAACTTTGAACACAAAATAAAGCAGATATAAACCTAATAAACCGAAAATGAGTTGATCAAAGGGTTTAACTAACAAAGTTACAAATGCAAATTCACTTTTTGTGTCATCCTCGGATTCATCTTGAGATGTTAGGGGGCGATTGGAAATGGTTTGAACAGTAAAAAAACTAATCAAAACTCAAATTTAACTCAACCCCACTATATCCAATATTATCAATATCATTAAAGAATATCAAACAATTATTTTTACACATCACATCAATTTTAATTCACTATTCATCCACTCACATAATTTTAACTAACTATCATTTCCAATCATTTTTCTCTTACTTTATATCAAATCAACTTTAATTATTATTTTTAAATATTATTTAATATATCCACTAACAACTAACCATACCACATTTTTCTAAAATTAACTATAGTTAAAAAACAAACCAAATAAAAACTAGTTGAATCCATAAACAATCACACCCTTAAAGACTTTGATTACTCAAAAACCAGAGTTCGTTAATTTCATGCATGTCAACATCAAGAAAATTTAAACATTCAAGCAAATCCAGAGTTAGTTAGTTGAACGACTTGTTTGCGAATGTTTGATAATGTCACGAGTTAGTTAGTTGAACGACTCGTTTGCGAATGTTTGATAATGTCACGAACATTAACTTAATATAACTTTTTCTATTTTATTTTTATATTTACATGTGTGGTATTTTGAATTAAAAAAGTCTAAATTGTGTATATAGTTTTACTTTACATTTATTTTATTACTTCGAGCTTGAACTAATATGAACAGACAAATCTCCAATTAATAGATTTTTTTAAAAAAAAAATATTGTTTACTAAATTATTAAAACATGAACAAACTCAAACACAACTTTTTTCAATTAGAAGTGATATTATAGTGTCTCAACTCTTAACATAAACATACCTGATTATGTGAAGGTTGTGTGATTTTCTTTATTCGCTTCTGGAATGAAAAGGACAAAAGGCCAGTGAGAAACTTTTAACTTAATTTTCTGAAAACATACCATAAAGCGTCTCAAATTTTAGTTGTTTTGAGGAAAAAAAAGCTAAAAGTTACACTAACAAACTTTGGAAAGCTAAGTGTAAAATTATTAACCAAACTCTTTTAACTTTGGCTATTTCAGAATGAATAACTCCATTCAATAATAACTTGAGTAAATAAGACATGACTTCAAACCTAAGAAAACTAAAGTTATTCTTTTTTCAAGTACACAAAATAATCACAGCCACATGACATAAAACATCAAGTTGAAACAAGTAAACTTCAATTTTTATTGATCCTATTAGTTCATCCCTCTACCTAATTGAACAACAAAACAAGTACATACAGGCAAAGTCAAATCATTGACCACAAAAGTCGATAAAAAATTTTGCACGTATTTTACGGCGTCACAATAACCGAACATTGTCTTTTCACAACCCTTCGACGTTTATTGTCATCCTCACATGGCTGCAATTGTTTGTAGGATTTGTAAGTCTGAGTACAGATAACTTTAGTTACAATAGTTCGATAATTTCAATAAGAACTTAACTGGTTTAAGGTAGGTTAGAAATTTTTACCCCAGGGCTGCAGACATATGGAATCCGAACCCTTTTGGAGCCATCGGGTAATCTTTTAGAGGGAAATTGATTATCAGAAGCACCAAAATCACCCAAAACCTTCAAACAGTTCAGATTAAGGATCATAAGTAGGAGCAAAAAAAGAAGCTAAAAAGTTGGTTTAATTGATGTTAAAGCCAAAATCAAATTAAGTAACAAAATGGCATTTTGCAGATACTCCCAAAACCAATTAGGCCAAAATAATTCAAAATAATGTGCTAAGAATAAAATGATAATAAATCAAGGGAAATATTATAGTGTAGCTTCTACCTGAGCTTCAATGGTCTTTACAAGCATTTCTTCACAATCAGATGCATGCACACTTTCTAAATCGGCACAGTGGATTAGCAGTCTCTCTGGTTTCGAATGTAGTTGCAAAATATCGTTAATACTTTTAAATTGATATTAGCAGGTTTAATTCAATAAAATTAAATGGGATGTACCTGGATGCAAATTCCTACAAGAATTGAGGTTCAATTCAGTAAGACGAGGACAATTCAAATACAAAGCCTGCATTTTTTCAGTGATTCTCATATCAGATTACAACAAAATGCGGACAAATTCACAAGTAATNNNNTCAAAAAAAAAAAAAAAAAATAGAAAAACTTACATCAAGGCCAGAACAACCCCATAAGCTTAGTTTCTTCATGCGATTGTGCTTGATGATTAACTTCTGGTGTGTAATGTGTGGCGAGCTATTGCACATTTTTTGTAATTCAGAATCATTATTATCCTTTTCTTTGGAGTTATTGTCAGAATTGGGATCACATATGGTCATTCCACAGTCCATAAGTTCTAGACGAGGAAGCTCAGCAGCAGCAAACTGAATGCCACCTAGCAAAACATGAAGGGATAAAATTAGAAACAAATAAATAAAATAAAAAAAGAAAAAAGAAAAGTATTAACTGATGAGAATATATGAATTGCATGAATACAGGACATAGGAATTTACTTGAAGTGATGTTTGGACAAAGAGCAAGTAGAAGTTTCGATAAAGTATCAGGAAAGACATTGCAAATCATCCCGATGCCACTGTCACTGATGCTAGACCTAACAATAAGCAATGAACCGAGAAGAAGACATTATTCACTACATAACCAAAAATCTGAAAGCATTTCAGAGAGATAGTATTCATTTAGAAAAAAAGAAAAAAGAAAAACACGTACCCACTTAAATCGAGCAACTCTAGTTTTGGAAAACTTGAAGCAATAGCTGCCACTGATGCATCGGTTATCCCAGATCCTAGAACAAGAGATAGCATTCGCAATCCCCTAATTTTGCAGAAGCAGATAAAAATCAATCAAAAAACCGGGATTATAGAATTGGAAAATTAAATTCACTAATCATGCAGATAAAGGTAAACCTCAAATTTGAGGCTGAGAGGGCTAACACAACATCATGTGAGAGCAAAACTGAGGCAATATGGATGTTTTGAAGCTTAGGGCAGCTTCTTCCCAATGCATCCATGACTGTTCTAAGGTCAGTGCTATCATTTTCTTGGCAAGAAAAGTCCAAAGAAACCTCCTTTAGATTTGGGCAGTTAAAAATCTGTGCAGGATAATGTGTAATAAGCCAATTAAAAAAAAAATCACATATTATCAAGTAGAACTGATTTATCTACAACAAGCAATTACCATCTTAGAAAGGGAGTGAAGATCTGAAAGCCAGAGAGAAGAGAGACTAGTTGAAGACAATATAAAACCCCCAATGTTACAGCAACCTTCCATCTTGAGACTGGTTAGGCATCTTTTATCAGCAATAAAACGACTCAACTCATCCCTGAATGAGTTGGTACACATTAATTAATTAATTAATTTCACTCCATGTTAAATGCAGCATACCGAGTTATCTTGATGCACAATAGACCAATTGTATAAAATGTGGAGATACAAAAATCTTAGAATAAGTAATAATTTGCCAATAAGGAACATAAGACAGTTAGGTTGGATTTGAAGCCACAAATACATTAAACTCACTGCTATTGAGTATGCTGAAAATTGTATATTAACATATGAACTTCTAAGAACAAGAAGATACACCATCATCTCTGTTCTCATACTTAACGTTGAAACTAATTTCAAGCCTGTGTTAAATATATGAAATATATGAAAAATAGCCAATTATTGCTGACCAAAGAAAGAAAAATTCATCCACATTGCTAAAATAAACAACCACCATGAATATATATCAAGGAGTCAAGATTGCTACCCAGAGATCCGATTAGTAGAGGAATCAGCAGTAAAGATCTCCAGAGACTGCAAATTTGGGCACGAGAAGGCAATACAGGCCAGCATTGTTGCATCAAAATCACTGCAAAACCAACAGCAATTTTACTTATCATTAGATAAAAAAACAGCTCATAATAATAATCAAAATCCATCAAGTTCTTGGGNAACAAATTAAAAAAATTATTTTTTTTTTTTAATCATTGAATCCTTTTAATACCTATCTCATAGTTATTAAGTGTTGGATTTTGAATAGATAACTGTCCCAAATGAGAGAATGTACCGAGTTTCTTAACTTTAGATTATTAGATTCGTTTGAATTCTTCTATAAGACAGTGATTTTCTAATTCCTAAGTCATAAGCTTCACTAATCACCGGATCCAATCCATGAAAGCTTAGATCTAACGCCGGCCATTAGAACCCTAACCTTTCGATTCTAATCGATAGTCTTAACAGGCCAGGGCATTTCTGCAGAATGGACCCCACAAATCCAATCTGCGCCTTCGCCGGAACTCTGAGCCGGAGCTCCTCCGCCGCACGCCACAGCTTTCTAGTCGTCTCCCTCCACCCCCTGCACACCCTCGCCGCCGAGAGCAGCCCCGCCGGAGGCAGCCTCCGCAGAACCTCCCACAGGCAGCTCATCGGGAGACCATCCGACCCGTACGGATCCGGAACCTCCTCCTCCAGATCGAACCGCTCCTCATCCAGAACATCGATTGATTCAGCTACGCTGGTGTCATCAAACAACAGAGCTCGCCGGCGCCGGACCGCGGGCGGTGGCGTCGCGCAGACCAGCTTCTCCGCCGCCACCGACGACCCGAGCGTGGCGGGTGCGGAGGACGGATCGTCGGCGCCGGCGGTCGGGGTGGACATGGGGGTAGCCGGGTCGGCGTCGTCGGTGGGGTAAGGGCACCGGTGGCCCTTCTTGGGCAGCCCGCAGCGGCCGCAGTTGTAGCTCCCCCTCTTCTTGCCGCGCCTGATCAGGAAGTCGGCGTCGGAGATGGGGGTGACGGGGTGGGGTAGGTGGCCCTGCATCCGGCGGCGCGTGAGGACACGTACAGAGCATAAAAATTGATGAAGGGAAAAGGGTTTTGGGAAAAAGGTGGATTTTGGAGGATAGATAAATGGGGTTGGGGAAGGCGCGGGAGTAGATGCAAATTTGGCGCCTCAGCTTTTGAAACCATTTTTCTTTTCTTTCTTTTGATTTTTTTTTCAGTGAGGAGCCATTTTTGGACCGTTTGGGAGGGAGACAAAATTTCTATGTTATTGGCACGTGATCCTATCTTTGACCTATGGTGTGCATAATCACAAATTCACCAACTAATTTAATAATACATTTTTTTTTTAGCAATTTGAACTTTTTTTTTTTGTATATTAAGAAATCTCATTATGTTTTGATGACCAAAAATTTTATTTTATTTTTTCATTACTAGCAATATAAACAAAATGATATCAACTCAATTAATATACTTTATATAAGACATAAATTCAATGACATATTATATACGAAGATTAGTCGATGTGGGTCGATTATTGGTATATCTACTCTACCCATGGAAAATCTATGATTTATAGTTAGAAACGACATATATAGATTTTGGTGTNTAATGAAAAAAAAAAGAAGAAAAAAAAAACTATTTAACAGATTGCTAAAATTGAAAAGATTTACTCAAAATTTAATTGAAATGTTTGTTGTGTAAATAAGACTTTACCACATTGTCATTGGATTCTTACCTTTGGATTACAAAGTGTTCTACCATAAAAAATCAGATTTAGCAATAAGGTATTCAGATTTTCCATTTTTCCCTTTTTTTAACTTGGAAATGATATAAACAATTGACAAAAAAATTACTGATTTTTCAAATATGACATGAATGAAATTAATGACTGAGGAAATATATTTAGTGACCTGAGTCAATAGTCTTGAAAATTAAATACTATAGGAGCTCCATGTAATATTAGTACAATCTTTTCTGTGTTATATTTTCTTAATGAACATTGCAGTATCCCAATCATTTTGTCTATGGTAAAATATCTATATCAAAATATTTTTACCTTCTTATTAGTCCTTATTTTTATTGGGCAATGTAAATTTTTTTTATAGTATCTTTTATAAAAAAATAAAAATAAAAAAAAAATAAAAAAAATTGAGATATATACACACTTGGGCAGCTCTATTACTAGATGAAATATTACAACTCACCGAACCACAAGAATGGTCACACTTAACTACTATCTAATAGTATAATTCAACCAGATAGCTCACCTACTGGATGTGGAAGATGCGTTTACAAACGTGTCAAGATTTGATGATCTTCAACTACATATTTATCATGTACCAACAATTTGCATACTAATAGATAGAGACAAATTTTGGAATATGTGTCTATTAGATATATATCAAGATTTTGAGATCTTTCAATCACACATCTATCGTGCATAACATGTATATTTTTTGCTATATCACATATTAACATTTGTATGACACATCTATCGTGTATAACATGTATACTTTCTGTTATATTAGTTGGTAGACATATTAACATTTGCATGACACATCTAAGAGCACTAATATTCCATAAAATTAATTATCACCATTTTAAAGTAAAGAGTTTGACAAACACTCAACTATCTAGCTTGTAATGTCTTCACTTTTTTGTATCACAATAAGCAATAAACATTTATATACCGTTCACTTTATTTGAGGATACTTTTACGCATCGTTTTTTTTTTATTCATTTTTTTTCCCTTTTCCTNATACCACTGACAGATTTGTGTGCTAGCAACTAGCAAGTGTTGGTGGACATTGTGTTGCCATTTTATTGAAAGAATGAGTTTACAATTAATTATATGGTTGGACTGAGAAATTTAAAGCCCTTGATTTCAAACTCTATAAAATTCATTTTTTTTTTTACTTTAAACTTGTGTAGATATGTGAATTTGATTATAAATTCATTATCAAACGCGCGAAGGCGGTGGTGGCTCACTGTGGTAATGAATTTGGATGAAGGGGCATATTCACGAACTGCATTGTTGATTGTTGTTGCTAAAATAGGATAAGTTTGATGATTTTTTATTTTTTTTAATAAATGGCATACGACCTAAATATTAAGAAATGAAAAAAGAAGGAAAAAGAATATATGAGTCTTAGATAATTAACAAAATTTACATTAACAAAGTCCCCTGTTCAATTTTCTGCTACAACAAGGTTGAAAATCTCTGGAAGTATAAGAAAAATATTGCACTGGCTTCTGCTCGATGAATCATCTTTATACCCACCATGAAATCGGACCTAAACCATCCGCATCAATAGTACCCTGCAACAAATTACGAGAAGGCAACCGAGTTAATGCAGTTTGGATGGCTAGGCAATGATGATTTGTGAAAACAATTACTTGAAACACAGTATCTATGGGGTGTGGTTGCATATAAATAAACTCAATTCAGAATCAAAATCTAACTCAATTTTAACCTAAGCCCAATATTCTCAATATTATCAATATAATTAAATTACATTATATTAATCAATCATTCTTATACAGCACATCAATTTTAATTCAACATTCATCCATTCACATATTTTAACTAATCATCACTTCACACATTCTCTCTCTTACTTTTACATCAAATAAATTTCAATTATTTTATTTTAAATATTATTTTAATATAAACTCAAAATCCCATTAACAACTAACCATACCATACCACTTTTTTCAAAATTAACCATAATTAACAAAAAAAAAAACCTGCAGCACGTCCTATAATTCAATTGAATCACACGATTCACACGAAAACAAAGCAAGAAAAGTATTACTGCCTGGTTAAGAAAAAGAACGCTACGTGCAAGACCTGTTTTCACACTCTCACGGGATAACCAGTTGAGACAATATTTCGAGTAAAGCTTTTCTCTATTTCCATTTCAAGTCAAATCTTAATCATGTCAGGAACGGGTTTTTTTTTTCTTTCTTGTATTCTTCTCTTTTGTTACTTTTTTGCTTGGAGGGTATAGGATGGAAAGACAACAATCTCGTGTAATATCAATTCCATTCCGAACATAATGTAAGGACGAGATGGAAAACTAATACAAATAACCGAGCAGTCGATTGCATGTAGAAAATGGTAATTATAAAATCTTACAGTGACCACCATAAGGGCAACTGGTTTCACAACTTTATGCTCTTTATCATTTTCGTTCGCCTCTCCATGATCTAAAGGTATAGGCGGATAACTCACACTGAGAACTTTAAATCTAATCTGCATTCAAGCAAGGACATCACATTAAAAAGAAAAGAAAAGAAAGAACAATTTTTTGTAACCATTAAATGAATCACGAAGGAGGAACAACAACCTCATCTTCCCCGTCTATCGGATAGTTTTCACCCTCGTATTCCCAAACCCATTTAACACCACCCCTGAGAGAGAGGACAGAAAATAATTTACGAGAAGTCACGTATTACCCATTTAACAAAGAAGAAAATGTTTAATAAATAGAAATTCGATGATGACATAGATGCTCACTTAATCGTTGGGTCGGGTTCAGAGTGATTGGGACTGTTCAGGCAAGGGACAGGTACATAGACGTCCTCAAAAAATCCAAGTGACACTGCCAAGCATAAGTTAATACTTTTGGCAACTAAGTATAGGTTGCAACAAGTACTTAAAAACTATGTAATGGTTATCTAGATTTAATTGATAATTACATTAAACAATCTGAATAAAACATGTGAATAATAATAACTGGCATGACAATATCACAGTAATAACTAATAAATACAGACTGGAAACAATTTTTCTCCTTGTTGATCGATACAAGCAATTAAATCTTGATTATGGCAGAAGATTTTTCATATATGCAAAACTTGAACCATCACTGATTTAATAGTAATGATTAAAAAAGGGAAAAATATGCCATAACCACAAAAAATATTATTGAAAGGAATAGCCAAACTGAGATGGTTGTCGAGAAGAAATATAATATAATGAATGAAAATGGTAGAAGAAAACAGAAAATATTGAAACAACTTTTTAGGATTTTATAAATACGGGGTCATCAACTAATCAATATAAAATCTCCAACGCTAATGCCGCAATTCAAAATAGCAAATTCAAGAATCAAATTCTCATGCCAGAGTCCAATCTAACAAACATGAACCTGGACTGACTCAAATCAAGTTCGATCTCCGAAATAGAAACTGAATCAGATATAAATTTAGGACATTAACACCCTCAAACAATCAACACAAATACCAATCCGTTAAAAACACAAAACACTTGGAGAAAAATGATCACATTCATACTGCAAAAGAAAATCGAATAAACCGAAAGTAAACCCAAACACAAGCAAACTGAATGTGCCATACATCGTAAACCATCCTTTGTCGATTCCATAAGTCGAGCCGATATAACCTCTCCCACAAACGGCCGAAACATTACCAGCCTGAATACCACCTGAAATCAGACGAAACAAATTTACATTCTCACAAGCTTCAAGTTTCCAGACAAATTAAGCAACAAACTATTCTGAACAGCGTACTGTGTGAGTGGAGGCGCCATTGCCGGGAAACACAAAACCACCATTGATGGATTGAATATCATACACGCTGACGCACAACCCTAGATTTTCAATAACCTGAGAAAAAGTTGATTATCACTGAAGGGAAATCAAATTGTAAGAAAACGAGGATTTGGGTAAGAAAACCTTGTCTAACAAGAGAAACTCGAGCTCTCCTCTAATGGCCTTCTCGATGGGTAGGCTGAGGAGATGTGGGGGCAACCTCAGAGTGTGCTCTAATTTGCTCAGGAAAAACATCTCTTTTCAACCTTTTTTTCAGACGCAAGTAGATGAATTGTCGCAGGGTAAAGGATTGTTTTTTTCTAGCACGGCGATGAGGTGCCGGAGAAAAGGTGGCGGCTGTGGGCAAAGTAAACCACGATAATTTCATAGCAAAGTAAAGGTAAAAGATTCAGTACTTCAGTTCAGGGTCCAGCCATCAATTTACCTGCCTCGCCGCTCGAAGTCGGAGTCACTATGCGTGCCGTGCCGCCACCTCACCGCTTGCCGATCGCCGCCGCTTCACCGCTCGCCGCACGCAGTCTCCACTCGCTCGTCTTCACCGCTTGCCGTGCCGCCGCCGCCGCTAGTTTGTTGAATTTTGCCGACGATAGTTCAGGGACAGAGACGTTAGGGGCTAGGGTTTTTTCTTTTTCTTTTTCTTTTTCTTTTTTTATTTTGGCGTCAGTTCACTTCTGCCCGCCCACATTTTGTTTTGTTTTTTTGACAAATTATGCATTTTTTATTTTTTATTTTTTAGACAAATTCGAAGCGTTGTTTACGTTACATCTCTGTTTTTGTAAATTCATACAAGGCCAACGGCCCACAGCGTTTTTAAAAGTTAGAAGCTGTGGGCCGATTCATTTTGGCCCGGTCTATAGCGAGCCTTCTTTTGAAGACCAAACTCTAAAAATATTAAATAAAAATCACCTTTTGAGCCTTATTGAACCAAACGAGCTCTAAATGGGTTCGAGTTTGGTTCGTTTATCAAACAAGTCGAGTCGAGCTCACGAACTGTTCATTTCATTTAAAACCTCTTCATCCTACAAATCATTAATCATATTGTTTTTCAAGGCTCTTAAACAAACAAGTCAAAAGAAAACCACGCAATTACAGTAAAAACTAAAAAGTAGTGTTTTGCTTGTACATAATGAACACAACACAATCTATTATACAAGATTTAATAATAACAAAAATTAAAATCCCTCAAAAGCTTCAAAGGGACAACCCTGATTCCTCATCCTCCTCAAGGCTCGAGACATAGATAAAGTAGAAAGCCCAAATCAAACCGAATACACCGAAGAGGATCCAGCCCAATAGATTATTGCTCAGCCCAAAAGGCAGCCCAGTACCTTCAGTGCTCATTCTCTCGTCCACCAAGGCTATGGCGGCTGGGCTTGACATAGCCGCCACACAAGCCGCCGCCAATGAAGCCGCCATCCCCACATTCGGCTCGCTCTCATTTGGCTTTCCCTCCATAGAGCACCGAACTTTCCCCATTTTCCTTGACATCGATGGCAAGCCTATAATTAAATTATGATGAAAAAATTCGAGCTCATGTACTCAAGTAAAGAACCGACAAACGAACTCGAGCCTTAAAGAATCAGATTATGTTAAAAGTTTAAAAAGTTACATAATACCTCCAATTTCTCAAGTAGCTAAGTTCACGAACGACTTCGTTACGTTTAACATTTCTATTCATACACTTACTCATAATTGACATGAAACCATAACAATTTATTTAATTAATATATTATTTAATTAAAAGATAAATACAAGCCGAGCCATTAAACGAAACGAGCTTGTTAAGCTTGTTCAAGACTGGTTAGGCTTAATAAATAATTTTTTGAACATAATTTTTTGAACTTTTAACATAATTTGAAGCTTGTTTATTGACTCGATAAGAACTCAAGCTCGAGCTTGAGTCTGAAAAACTTAAATTCGACTTGACTCGACTTGTTTTTCAATTAGAAGAAGAAAGACAGAACGAACGATCGGCAAATCCTTACCGTGAACTGTGGACGGGCGCACGGCGGATGTCTTGGGCACAAGGGCAACACGTGAAACCGATGAAGTTGAGATGCAAGCTGATATGGTGGCCATTTTTATTTATTTATTTATTTTTAATTTAATTGGGTTCGGATGAATGAAAGTTGATTGGCTTGCAGCTTATTACAAGTTCATTTGCTGTGGCAAAATTTCAGTTTGTGTTAAGGTGGGGACTGGGAGGATTTGGAGCCACACACCTCGGATTAGGTAAGTCACTTTCTCATCTATAAGCGTCCAGCCGCTTGTCGCCACGTGTCACTTCATCCCATGGCAGCCCACAAATTCTCCGCAAAAAAGCCAAAAGTTATATATGTTGTTTCCCTTGCTCCACTCCAATTAAAAATCCATAAACTGGAAACTAATTTTCTAACATTTTGCAATTTAATTCAATTTTTAACTTTTGCAATAAAAAGTACGAGCGTTAACTTTTTCAAATTACGGGTTTAAATTGTCATCTAACTTGGATACAGAAAATCGACACATCAAAATAAAAAAAAAAAAATAGAAAATACACCTCATCACCTCATAAAAAATTTAGGGCTCTGGAAAATCCTATTTATAATATTTAGTGATAATTGAAGACTTATAAAATCCTAACTCATTAGTCATACTATCCTCATTTTTTAAATGCCTTTCCCCATATCATGTAAGGGCAAATTCGATGCTACCCACATAGGCAGTGCCCATATGGGTAGCATCGAATTTTTCTCATGTAAGATAACCAACACGACATTTAAGCATCGTTGACTTTGTGTTTCGATTTCCAGGAATGAAACCCATGTTGGTGGCATCGAATTTTTCCCATGTAAGATAACCAACACGACATTTAAGCATCGTTGACTTTGTGTTGCGATTTCCAAGAATGAAAACACACGGTGTTGACTTATTTATAATTTTTTAAACAACCATCTTTCTTTTTAATGTTTTATTTTTTTTAATAAGATGGCCCAGCCCGAAACCGGTAATTCACCGCATTTGCCCGTATATGTTTTCAAGCCGGTTCAGGGACTTCAAACCCGCGGCCCAAGACCGTCATTTGGCCATGTCCACGTCCACTCTGCTTTTCTTACAAAAGTGGAAGGAGTAGACAACTGCCCTTATGGGCTTTTTTTAACCCTTGATTTACACACACGTGCAGGTGTGAAATCAAAGGTTAAAAATCTATAGGGTACATTGCCCCTATAAGGGGTTGTTCATCAGAACTCATGCCAATTGTCATATCATTCGAAGTTGGTTGCTCTACATAAGTTTTACACGCGCAATATCGAGGCAAGAACTATGACACGGGCTTCACCAAAATATGGCCCCTTATTGCTAGAAGTGGTCTCATCTCCTAAAAATCCTTAATCCTATGGCTGGACAATAACAGTAACTGAGTAAAGAAAAAAAAAAGCCAAAAAATGAGTTGAAATGTACATGTAAGAATAGTTGAAAATTGAGAAAGAATGAAGTAAACATGAGGAAATATCCCTAATCGTATAAACTCGAATCTTCTAGGTGGTGTTGGAATCTAAAACTACTCGTGAACGTTGCACTGTTGCAGGTACGGATGGTCGTACTTGACGTGTTTCCTCCAATAATGTTTGTACCTCTCGAACCCGATATCTAACCACGGTTTACGAATCCCGTCAAAGTGCAAAACCGAGGCTCGATCTATGCTGTCCTGCCTCACACTAGAGTCATGCCCCAACCCTAGGACTTGCCACTGATTATCCAAAGCAAGTGTTTGTTTGTAGAATGTAAGCCAACCAATTGGCAAACTTCCTTCTGTCCAGATCGGCCTCTTGTTGCCCTGCAAGATGAACGCGTATATATTTAGATGACACGTCTAAGGCTATATTCTTACAAAAAACTAGCACTGGTTCCATCTTAGCAGATTTTTTTAGATGACACGACTAAGGTTATGTTTGGTAAACAAATAAGCTAGCTTATAGTTTATGTTGTTAGCTTATAAGCTTCCTGTATTCAAATAAGCTTCATTTGGTAGGACGGGTTTTTTAAAAAAGCTGAGCTTATCTCATAAGCTTATGTGGATAGCTTTTCTAATAAGCTCGTTGAACTTTTTATTTCAGCTAATTTTACCAAACACTTTTATCATATAAGCTAGCTTTTCAGCTATAAGTCATAAACTATAAGTTATAATCTCGAAAATCACTTATAAGCTATAAAATAGCTTATCAGCTAGTTTTACCAAACATAGCCTAAGAAGCAGTATTTACTATTTACCAAGTATTTTACATGCACGAAGCACACCAAAAAATTGTAAAACCTAAGAATGATTAGTAGCCTCTCAAGTGTTACAAGTCCCCGTTTCAACTTATGTTCGTCTAACAAATACCTCATTTTCAATCTTGAGGTTCCAATAGTAAGTGAGAAGAAGATGTCTATAAGGTAAAGGTTCAACAAACACTGTCCTATCATGCCAGTACAATTATATGCAACTGATCAAATAAATATATGAGATTCACCAGTTATTATATTATAGCCAAGTGAAAAAGAGAAAATACTCACCAAATGAAGGTACTTCAGATAGACCCCAGTCAAATTCCGGCGCCTCCACTCCCGAAGATCAAAGATATTCATCCCAAAAGCCCACGTGCACGTGCTGGCATCGAACTTATTTGCTATTAAAGGGTCCGTGAAATTGACAAACATGTCCATACGGTGGAAAGAAGGTTCCCCTTTGTTACACGTCTGCACAGCACCATTTATTCTGCCCCTCATGTTAATGCTCCACATCCTCGTTAAATCCTTTCGTACCACCAGATCGTGATCAAGAAGAACAACCTTATTCAGATTTGGAAAGACATCTGGCAGATAAAACCGGAGGTGGTTTAGCTCGGAAGTATATCGAGGATCAACAGAGCCTTCTCTTTGTAGTGTCACGTTGTATTTGGTGGTTAGCCAGTTGAAACTGTCTGTGCTCTCCACGTGAACAGTAGCTTTGCTGGGAGGGTTTAGCAAAAACCACATCGACATTGCCGGAAGGTTAAGGGAGTCAGTTACCACATGAAATACCAATTTCTCTGGTTCCTGTCAAGTAAAAGTACATCTTAAATTGAGAAGCATCAGGTATTTAGGTCATTTTCAAGCATAATCCAGGTGCTATGAGGAAGAAATAAAAGGGATAATTACAAAATTTACCCTGGTTTGAAGTAGCTACAAAAATAAAGGGAAAAAAATCACAAAACACCAGAAATTTAAAACCTTGAGATTTGATTCGGTGTTAAAATGGAGAGGCTAGTTGTAATTATCACTACATATAAATAAGCACAATGTGTGCTGCAAAAGAAGAAACTTGTTCTGTAATACATCTAAACTGACACCAACAAAGAGAAGGGAAAAAAAAACACTTACCCTAGCATTTGAGACAGTTGAGTTCAGCACAACTGAACAAGCCAATACATTGTCAGAGAAAATAGCAAAATGATATAGGCGAGGATTTTGTAGTTTATTTTTGTGACGAAACTCCCTCTCCTTAGGATTCAGTGCAAAATACTCAGCAGTCAATCTCATAGAGAGGCAGTGAAGGCCTTTCGGGATGGTTCTCCCACCAAGTCCTCTAAGAAAAGCTTCTTGATTCCTCTGAGATCTCACCTGCTCTTCGGCATTATGAGTCATGGCACGGAGCTTCTTAACCATTGCAGCACAATCAGGGTAAATACGACTTGCTTTTAACAACGTAGCTTCCATTGCTTTCATCTTCTGTAGAGAACTGAAGAACCAGGAGTTTAATATAATTAAAATGTTTCACTGTAATCTCAGACTTGAATTAACTGCCGCACTAAAAAACAAATGAGACATATAAGTTTTCGTAAGAGGACTATTATTATTTATATATATAGTGACAGCATGCAGTCAAAGGTTTATATTGCATTGACAGCAGCAAGGAAAGAAGTACTAATGTACAGTCAGACTGACTGAGCATGACTTTACATAGAGTTACGAATCATGTCTAGAAAACTAAGGGGTCATTTACCTCTTAAATTGGATGGTAAATGTACGTGAGATGTGGGACTTATTTTAGATTGTCGAACAACATGGTGACTCACAAGATTATTCAGAAAAAATATGTTCCAAATGTGGATTCGACCAATAAACATCTGACAAGGTAACAATTTTAGTATAACAAATCTAATCAAACGGCTAGACATGCCCTAAGAAATAAGAAAATATGATAATCACCAACACTGAATCCAGCAATGATGAGGTATGAATCAGTGAGCGCAATAAAATCCAAAGGGCCAAAAGAAAATTTAACAATACAAAGGTCGATCATGTGTCATCCTCAGCGGTAGTGCACCACGTGTGAAGATGATCAATAAGTGTCTATTAGATAATTGGAAGTGGGAGCTCAGTTCTCGTCACAATCTAAAAGTAAAGAATAAGAGATAATCGTAGAACTATGTTAGTGAGAAAGTGAATGGCCAAACAATCTTATTATCTAAAAACAATGATTGTTGTGCCTTCAATTCCCACAATCTCACAAAGTAGTACTGTGATCTTTCAGAGTCTAAAATAAGATGAACAAGATTGGAGGGATAATGTTGTACCTCCGAGATACACGAGAATCTTTGGTGGATTGACTCATGGCTCGTTCAACCTCTTTTACTCGGAGTTTCAACTCTTTCACAATATGAGAACTGCTATTTGATAGTGTGAAACTTAAGTATGCTCTGGCCCTAATCACTTGGTCTTTCATCTCTTTCACCTTCTCATCCAATACTCTCGTCCTACTCCGTACAACCCGATTAAGCTGTGCCTTGTCTTTGTGGGACTCTTCCTTTCGTGAACAAAAGGTAATATATTAGTGGGTGAGAAGAAAGAAAATGAAACAGGCGGGAAAAGAAAATTAAGGAAGCACTTCACTACAGTCACCCAGAAAGAAAGATGTATTTATAAAGCAAGAAGCATCAATCAGAATATGAAAAGGTGATAAATTAGCTTTGATATCATCCTAGAACAGTGGATTCCTGAAAATAACAAAACAATAAATACGTATCACAACTTATTGGTATTAGCAGTACATCTTGAACAAATATTGGATGTGATAGATCTTATACAACTATGCCAGAGATAATCAGAAATAATGGGGATTTCTGACATAAATGAATATCTACAATAGTGATGAACAAGTCAAGTAAGCCAATGTAAGAGAACAAATGCTAAAGAGTACAATTACTAGAGCAGACTCTCTAGCATTTCAGGATAAACACAATTGCTTATCCTGGGTAGAAATTTTCAGAGAGCCATCATCCAAATAAACTTCTATTTGCACCTTTTGGGAATTGGTACATTAATAGATTATCTCTCATCTAGAACTCCATGCAAAAATAACCGATGATTTAAATTGTTACTAAGCAAAGCTCATCAACCTCATTCATCACTTGCTCAAAGCTTGCATCGGCAGTGTAGGTACAGAATTATTGTTCTCAATATAAATTATTCACATTGAAAAATCACAAACACATTAACTGATTACTGAAAAAATGTAGACCAACTTAAATGCCTCTCTATTAAATGTCAGCCCAACAATTCAAACTCCGGGTCCAAAACATAGTAAATAAGCAAATACTAGCAATGAGAATATAACATACCCTTGACCCAGACACAGCAGGCCCCTCTTGATGTCCTTTCTGGCCACTTTCACTTGCATCATGCCTAGTTGCTGAACTTGAAACGAGACCAAAGGAAAAGTACATATCGCTGTACATTAAACGAGCAGCAAAACAAATTTAAATAAAAATGCATATAAATAATACCAACCACCATTTTCCAACAAGTCAGCATCATTTGCTGCGTTTTTTACTTCCCCAGCTTTTGTACCCTCACTATAACTAAAACTAACGGCAGAACTAGAGCTTTCATCTTTGTACACCACCAGTTGGGGTTCTTTCAAACCTTCACCTTCCTGTTATAAAAAAAAAACATAACAGATAACCCAGTAGCACAAAAATCAAAACAGCATGAAAAGTATGTGACATACAGTTATATATTCAATTACCTGCTCGATCGCATTTAGTGTGTGAGCATCCGTTCTGTGTTTCTGTACAACAAAAATCACAATATAATTATTCGATAACCTGTCGAGCACAACAGACTCTCCAATTGAAAATTTTCAATACTGTGGATCTCAGACTAATATCAATCAATAAATCTGTCGAATTAGTGAAATGACGCAAAAATATAAAATGAATGGGAAAAAGACCAGGGCATTCTAGATAGCAGGAAAACAACATTTACAACACACAATTTTTTTTTTTTTTGTATAATGTTTTTTTTTAAATGAGGAGATGAACCCCGAGCACAACACACTAAACAATCAAACACGACATTCACACGCAAAACTCACACTGCCGCAGTATAATACACACAAATTCATAACCCAGTAATCAAACACCAGCATTATAACTCATCGACAAATTAAAGAAGTGGTTTAACACTGTCAATAAGCACTAAAGAAGAAGAAGATTCATACAATGATGGATAAATCTTCAACGAAGTCTTCGGATACTGCACACAGACAAGAGGAAAA